TGCATGAACTGATTATGGAGAACCGGCGAATATCCGCTAAGAAGCTTGCCCAGCTACTGAACATCTCACGAGATCGCTGTGTTAACAAGCTTCTTTCCTGTTGGATTTCTCGGCGCATTGGAATTACCTCGTGGTAATTACGACACCATAGTTTTATTATTGGTTCTGCATTTTTCCACCATAGATACTTGGGTTATCTCCGTTTAATTTCGTAGACCTAATATTCACTTCGTGCTCCGCAGTTGGCCGTCATCTTTGTCTCGGATTATCCATAATGCCGAAACCAGATTGTCGGAAATTGACCAAACGCAATCGCAGGTATCATGTTACATTCCACATTTAATTTATTGGGCTTTCGATTGAGCATTTTCGGCATTTCCATGATATCCAACGTAATTTAGTCCACATTTTGTGTAAGAATTGCAAAGATGAGATACAGCCGGGGAAAGTAGAAATGAATCACCAACCGCCTTATAAGCTGAATTATTCCCTTGCGAGCAGCTATCGCGAAACGCCTCCAGGTTTCGGAGAAGCTTTCCTTTTTCTCCCGTGCAAACTCACCGGGCCAGTTTCACTGGACAAAAGTTGTTGTATCCCATGGGCACATGTTCTGATTCGTGGAGACCTGTGTACTAATGACTCGTGAAATGTACAAGGAGGGAAAAAGCTGAGAGATGTATTTCAGCTAGTTAATCTGTGGCAGGTCGAACTACCTGAGGCTCGGGAAAATCCTCGCCGTGCAAGGTTAACCTTAGTCAATCTCCCAAGCGCCTGCGTCATGACGTTGTGCTTCTACAAAACCTAATTGGTAAGCTCCTCCGCGTGAGTGCTGGAGGGTTGAAATTGAGGCACATTATCCGTCTTGGTATGGTAATCAACTACGTTTGCCAACGAGAATGCCATTTGTGGATGAAGCCAGTCTTAGGCTGATCTTGTCCCCCCCCCTAAATAGCCTGGAAGACTACAAGATCCACGTTCGCTCACACCTGGATCCGGTGGGCTCCGATGCAGTAAGTGAACCAGACCAAATTTGTCTACCCAATCTACTTCGATTTCAGCAAAACGTTCAACAAGGCAAATTTTGCGGTCCTTCTCGACAGGCTGAGCATCTGTGGTGTTCGTAACTCACTGCACCAGTGGGTCCGAAATTCTCGGTGAGCGAAAGTGAGGGTTACCTATCCATGGCAATCTAACCTACTGGTATCCCTCTACTCGTTGAGTACCCCCAAAGCACGGTGGTGGGACCCCCTCTGTTCCTAATCCACATCATCGATTTGCCTCAGGTTCTTCGGTCACCATGTGCCTTGTTTGCGAGTGAGTTGAAGGTTTGGAGGGTGATTAGCGCCCCAACCGACTGCGTGCTACTTCAACAAGACCTCAGTAGCCTCCTACTCAACCCCAACAAGTCGGTATTCATGAGCCTGGGGAAGAGTAAGAATGACAGAACTTACACTGTTGACCGCTAATCGCTACATCCCCCACCATCCGTGGAGAACCTAGGTGAACTACGTTCTCCAACTTGAAGTCCGTGGACATCACGAACAGGTTGTGTCGTAATGGAGTGCATGTGTTTTGGGCGACCGAACGCAGCTTCTGTATTTGGTCTGAAGAACTCACCACTCACCTCTTCTTTTCTAAAGCGATTGCTCGAGTACCAGTTACCTGAGGCAACTCACAGAAGATCCAATGGGTCCAACACATCGTTATCAGGCTCATTCTTGCTTTACGAGGACCATCGTACGAAGCCCGCTGTGCGAAACTAGAAATATACACCTTGCCCTATCGTCGGCTGCCAATCGATCTCATCGTGACCATTCTGCATATTATCTCTTGTTGACGTCCCTATGTTGCGAACATCTTGCACCACACGCGGACATCGATGCAAATTTGTGCCGGATATCAATCGAGTCTTCTACTCCTGTATTTCAAGCGGAAAGTGGTAAATGTCTGGAACAGTCTGCCAGAACCAGTGAAGGCCAAATCTGTGCATCCTTTAAAAAAACTTGGATTAACACTACGTTGCAACTCGGTTCAGGGTACAATTGCACACTAGCAATAACCTCTTACATGTGTGAGCCAGATTACGCTATCAATCAGACATTTTTAATGCTGCATACAAATTGAAAAACGCTTATAGTACCAACAGATAGCTGATTATTTTAATGACATTTTCGATCATATTTCAATGAAGTTGTATAGATTTATATGTATACTTTCTTCCACGATACAGTATTCTACTATCCTGGACATGTGTAAGCTTTCAGCATTGTGAATACCCAAATGTTGGACCAATGATCACAAACAGAAACGACTTGAGGATGCCAAGATGAATATGTTGGGTTTCCAATTGGTCCACCACCACCTCCCTGCTCACCTCACCTGGCACCTTCAGACTGTTATCATTTCCCGAACTTGAAGAAACATTTGTGGTCGCAACGTTTGCGGACATCTGACATAAAAGCTGCTGCTGTCAGCTGATTTAAGGCACAACCAACTGACTTTTACTTGATCGGTATATAAAACCTTCAGATATGCTGTACCAAATGCATCAGACTCAGAGTCAAATATGTTGAATAAATCTATCATTTCATGACCCTAGCACTTCTTTCTGGTCAAAGCCAGGAACTTAGGAGAATCCTCACGTATAAAGTGGTGGTACTGCCTCACTTCGAATACTCTGTACAACCTTAGACACCGTAGCTCCGCAAAGATGTTGGTTGTATAGAAATCGTCCAAGAACTGACGGTTTGGATGATTGTGGACCAGTGTTCCATGGTGTTTCTAGACAAGTCTTGAAATGTTTCCACTTTTTAACCAGAGAAGAAGTGTGTTCGCATGGGTTCCGGCCTTTTCTTACTTTAATGTGCTCTCACCTGAATAGGACATCGTACAGCTGTGGCATATTGCAAGTGCATGGTAACTAGCGACGTTATTCCACGTACGTGCCCTGTCAAGTTTTGATGGGTTAACACAGATTTATATTTTTCGCCTTCTATTTACAGTATTCTATATCCAATGATGTCCCACAGGAGTCACTCATTTGCCTCTCACTGTTTAGTTTATATATAAATAGCTCATCTATGGAGCTGGCAATGATTTATAATCGCAAATTCTACTCCAGAATAAATGACACGGGCCAACCGACCCTGCGAATGGCGTTGACGGAGTGGTCTGCTCGCCTGATTTGTAACCATAAGGTCAGTGGTTCGAATCCGCGTAGCGACGGGCGTCCTCCTGGTATACTCAGCCCACACGCGACTGATGGTCGTCGCACGGCAGCGAAGCGCCGTGACAGCGTGCAGCTGACAACTTATTATTGTTATTATTATTATGAGGGACTAATTCCATTCTTGGGAGCCGCCGATGCATCTCACCAACTCTTCAGCTTTGCATGTACGGTATAACGACTCATTGATACATCACTTGCTTGATGCAAATGGAGTACCGCGAGTGCCACACAGTGAACCTTGGACAACAACTGCTCCGCAGGAGATTCCGCATGTTGTGGGTTACCTGCAAGTCACTCAGAACCGTGACAACAGCATTGCTTGTGAAACTGCTTACAGCCATTATTAGTCCGCACCTATAGTGCTGATATCTCTGGGTAGCAGAAAGGATTACACGCCTGTGTTGTGTTCCGGAGGCCACCCTGACCAAGGGAGTGCATGCCACGGACAAGTCACATTAGGACGAAAAGGCCGTCTGGTCCTTTTCCGGGTTGGTAGTTGGTCTGTCTGACTTGTAATCTAATTGGGACGAACAAAGAAGTCTCACCTCTCACCCTCTGCTCATTAGAAATCAGTATGTGTTCACCCACTCACCTTGCAGCCTCAATGACAGCCGACTTTCTACACGAGGTAATCCAAACGAGCTGGAAGAGCTAACGAAAATTTCCCGTTAGAGCAGCAGCATCCCTCTTCCAAGCGCAATGACTGCACACATTCCGTTTGGTTAGCGTTTGGGTGCAGCGCATTTTACTGTGATCTGACTGTCCGGGTTATTTCGACGACGATCAGATAACGGGCAGAGGTGCTGTGTTTGTCACTAATCAGCCCACCATGCAGCGATCGTTGTGACACAGCGTATATTGGCACAACCAGCATAGGATTTATGGATCTGAGAATTGATGCAGTTACTCTGTCAAAATCTGTCAAATAGCCGTTGAGGATCCGAATCAATACATTTCTAGCAATCATAAGTGTAGCTGCATATTGCGCCGTGCAGATTTCTCGGGAACTGAAGTAGTTGCAAACAGGCTAATCGGCAGTTCGGTTTGTCTGCTTCTGTTCCACTTGAGCCAGACGGTTAGAACTATCTGCAAGTTTTATCGAGGGTGCTGTCCTTTAAATTGGAGACAGGTCCGTGATTCCAACAGCTGAGTCGGTCATCCGTGTTGCTGGCGGAAACAGTACACTTACAGGCGTATCTGGTGAACCGAATGTTGTGTAAGATTCGGATGATGATTATGGGGATGGTATTCTCCCTTTCTTCTTGTTACGTTGTGTAGATAGTGCTTTTGTGTTCAACTATGCTAAGCCGCCAGCCGATCATTTTCATGACTGCTCCTATGCCGTATGCAACTATAGAGGTACTAATACGAGCTGATCCTATAATGCGGACTCGTGAGAGTGCTCTCCTTCTTCAGTTTGTATCAGAGCAGTAGATAAAAAGGAGTTTGTGTTCTACTGTAGCTATTTCACCCTCCGTCTGCTTTTGCACCAGGTATAATGCGATTTGGTACAATCTGGTATAGTCGCGGGCTCATTGGCACTGACGCATTCGGTTTCTTTTATATACCTGTTAACATTCCACTCGGACTAATTTCACTTACTCTTTGATAACTCATTCTATTTGCGTCCTAACCCATTTTCTTCATCATTGTTGATTTTTGTCATCCTGGCAACTCGAGTCGCGGCAACTGCAGGTCCACCATACTTCGATGCCCTAATCATCATCATCAACGTCCATCGGAACTGAACTGGACATTTGCTTCTATTTCAGCCATGCCTTACGCTAACCAACCGATTGTAACACTTACGAGTTACAACAATGAGAATATCAAGTTTATCATCGAAGAGACTGATTTGAGCGTTGCGAATGCCATTCGCCGTGTTTGCATCGCAGAGGTCCCAACGCTCGCAATCGACTGGGTGCAAATTGAGGAGAACAACACTATGCTAAACGATGAGTTCATCGCCCAACGCGTCGGTCTCATTCCTTTGACATCAGACAACGTGGTTGATAAGATGAGCTACTTCCGTGAGTGTTCCTGTCGCGAATTTTGTGAACAGTGCTCTGTGGAGCTCACTCTGGACGTGTGTTGTACAACAGACGCACCTACGCATGTGACAGGTGCCGATTTGATTAGCAGCAATCGGGACGTTCAACCTGTGCCTTCGCGAGATCCAGATGATGCTTCCTATGTGGGACAGGTAAACGGGTTTCACAATGCTTGTATACGTAATTTTTTAACTGGCTTGCTACAATCTCGCAAATGATGTACCTCGGATTTTTCTGGTTGATACATCAAATCTGCGCTATGTTCCTCCATAATCTCGCATTTCTCGTTTTAGTCCAATGCGCAACCGTCTAGTATTGATCCTCACGCGTTGTGGATTTTATTTCCGCGCAGGTCTTCATTTCCACTCTATTGTTTGTTGTTTTTATCTGAGTTTCCATCTGCCACTTTTTATCGATCCAAGTGTATTATGTACGCATAATCTGTGGCAGCTATTTTCAGCGCACCGTTCTGATACATATTCTGACAGTCAGCATTTTTTACTTCATATTTTCTTAACACGCATTGTAAACCCTTGGGCGAGTTGGCTTCATTATCCGTTGGTTTATCAGTAAAGGCTTTTAGTTAATGCTCTGTAGCAAGCATTACTGCCGAGTTGGCTTGTGACCTTCCTCAGGTTAGCTCATCACAGGCGCCTTATTCACTTGCAGTCATTGCGTGTTCTACGATCGCAACTTCAGTGCTTACCTCCAAAGGATATGATGACAATTTTATCTGAATATAACGTTGTATTAACATTGAAAGATTAACTTTTTCAGCTTTTCATTTAAGTAAATCTGCATCCATTGATTGGTGTAGGCGAAAATTTTTTTGTATATTAGTCTGGATAGAAGCCATGATCTTATTTTTCAAGTTCTGGTATTTTCCACCTTGATTCGCAAAGTAATGAGAGCATACTCAGTGCTGTAATTGGGTTCCACTTACCTGCTCGGGCGTTCTGTCATTGCTTCCTACACATGCAAGTGGATGTGCCTGTCAGATTTGTTTTTCATTTCTAGCGCCAAATTTTGCTTTTCACGCTATCATCAGCCATAAGTGCACGAAACATTTTCCCGCTTCCATCCACGGGATTTGGATCACTGTAGTACTCCCGTTCAGTTGGAGCCCAAATGAATATTGTGTCTCAGTTGTTGAAGCACCGTCACATATATTGGCGGCCCACCGTTGTCGTGTTCGGTAGATAGACGTGCACTTTGGGACTGTCTGCTAAGGAAAAGTGTACCTGAGAAATATGTAAATATTATCCGATCATTATACGCGCATGGCTCTGGTAGAGTGAGGGCTTACGGCATGCTGTCGTCGCCCTTTAATATCTCCAGCAGTATGAGACAAGGATGCCCGCTGTCACCTTTTCTCGTCAACTTCGCTGTTGAATAAGTCATGGAAATCGCGTTCACAGGACACGACTTAGAAGGTGTGGATCTGCCCCCAGGAGAACGACTTTTTGACTTAGGGTATGCAGACGACATTGCCCTTATCCATGACAGCTCCCAGACGTGCCAAGCCGCACTTTTAGCCTCTTTCTCCAACCACAATCTCATTATTTAGCATTTTATAACTTGCATAATAAATTGTTTATTTTTCTGCCGCATACTAACCGGCAGGTAGCTTACCGGAACGATGCCCATCCGTTACCGGTAGCTCAGCTGGTATGCAACTGTTGTATTTATTTTCTTTTGTGTATTGCGGCACAGTATCTGAGGTGTTTTCCACCTCTATCTAACATCTATATTGTGTGTGTGAATGTCGTGTCAGTTTTAGAAAACTGCCTGAACAGGCCGCGCTAATGATAGTACTCTTAATTCTACCGCAGTGAGGCTGGACCATGGTGCGATGGTTTGCGCGCCTCAGTGACCTATTGAGCTGTGCTGGGTGGTGCTTTTCCCATTTTCACTTACAAGCTTGCTCAATGATTAATGGTCAGACAAACAGCTTCCTGGTTCTCCACTTTGGTGGTTGAAGTGAGAGTGGCTCCTTTCTCCATACAACGGACTGTGTAGCCCAGTGACAAAATTCCGCTGCCTTGCGGTCAGGTTTTTGAATCAAAGGCTTTGGTTGATTACCCTACTCCTCCTGTTTAGGCTAGGGCAACCTGACAGTATCATGCCGCGCAATACAATTCTATGAATCTCTATCCACATGATTTCTCGGCGCTCTGGCTGTTGCAGAGGATAATAAACGGCGCCCTATATGCTGCGTCGAGCGGAGTGGATAAGGGTAAGAATGCCACTGCTCAAGCCTTCCCGTCTTCTTAATCCTCCTCTTACGCTTTTGCACTCTTATCGTCCCGTTTCAACTTCACTTTTATCCCCCTCGTTTTTAACCCCCCAACCCTTTACCCTCCGCTACCTTGCTTTGATATGCGTCTATTTTCTAGTTTCAACTCGCATGCAGACACGGAGCGTCACTTCTGCCCTGCCGACAAGGCCATGTCCAATCAACCGGTCAAACCCAGTTCATCGGCTTGTATTTGGAACCCTCGGTCTTCCCTCAGATTGACATGCCTTAACGTACGCACATTGTCACCGGTAGCTCAGCTGGTATGCAACTGTTGTATTTATTTTCTTTTGTGTATTGCGGCACAGTATCTGAGGTGTGTCCCACCTCTATCTAACATCTATATTGTGTGTGTGAATGTCGTGTCAGTTTTAGAAAACTGCCTGAACAGGCCGCGCTAATGATAGTACTCTTAATTCTACCGCAGTGAGGCTGGACCATGGTACGATGGTTTGCGCGCCTCAGTGACCTATTGAGCTGTGCTGGGTGGTGCTTTTCCCATTTTCACTTACAAGCTTGCTCAATGATTAATGGCCAGACAAACAGCTTCCTGGTTCTCCACTTTGGTGGTTGAAGTGAGAGTGGCTCCTTTCTCCATACAACGGACTGTGTAGCCCAGTGACAAAATTCCGCTGCCTTGCGGTCAGGTTTTTGAATCAAAGGCTTTGATTGATTACCCTACTCCTCCTGTTTAGGCTAGGGCAACCTGACAGTATCATGCCGCGCAATACAATTCTATGAATCTCTATCCACATGATTTCTCGGCGCTCTGGCTGTTGCAGAGGATAATAAACGGCGCCCTATATGCTGCATCGAGCGGAGTGGATAAGGGTAAGAATGCCACTGCTCAAGCCTTCCCGTCTTCTTAATCCTCCTCTTACGCTTTTTCACTCTTATCGTCCCGTTTCAACTTCACTTTTATCCCCATCGTTTTTAACCCCCCAACCCTTTACCCTCCGCTACCTTGCTTTGATATGCGTCTATTTTCTAGTTTCAACTCGCATGCAGACACGGAGCGTCACTTCTGCCCTGCCAACAAGGCCATGTCCAATCAACCGGTCAAACCCAGTTCATCGGCTTGTATTTGGAACCCTCGGTCTTCCCTCAGATTGACATGCCTTAACGTACGCACATTGTTACAGATCGATCAACAGGCAGCACTTACCTGAACGTTAGAGACCTTCTCGATCTATATACACTGCTTATCGGAAGCCCACCTGGAAGACTCGAACTCTGTGCTCGCTTTGCGATCTTCTTCAGGTGACTAACAGTGCCATGTTGCTTCGTCTATCCGGAGTTGATGCAGCTTCGAGTGCCGGCCAAGCCGGTGTTGTTATTGCCCTGAGTCCCCGGGCTAACGCTCCTCTGGTTGATTGAATCCTGATTACTAGTCGAATGTGTGCTCACCGACTGGCTGGCTCATTCAAAGCTCCGAATTCGCGCGGGACTACTAAGTGTCTGCACGTCATCACTGCCTACGCGCCCACAAACTGTAGCGATGACTCGGTAAAAGATGACTTCTGTCGCCAACTGAACGAGCCCCTTCATCACAGAAGAAGCACAGACACTGTAGTGCTGACTGGAGATGTGAACGCTCGTTGGGTACTTGTCCACTGATGTGCTGCATCTGGGTAGTCAACATGATGTAGGCTCCTGTAATGATAGTGATGAGTGGTTACTTTATTTGTGGGAAGATTCTCGCTTATTTCTTGCGAACACTAATTTCCGACACAGCACCCATCAGAGGGTGAAACAGCGCCCACCAGCCATGGACGCAATTTGATCTCATTGCGATAAGTTATCGCTGGGGAGGCTGCGTTCAAAACTGTCACTCGATTTGGAGCACAGGTGTGGGCACTTGTCTGACTTGCCGAACTATCTCCTCGTGGTGCCACCTGGGCGGTTCGGGCGTACCACGTTCCAGCGAAATGTTTGGCGACAGTGTTCCACCTCGCTAGGGCAACGTAGTCCAGCAATTGTGCTGTTTTCATGGGGAGTATTGGGTTTCTGTCTGGTGATCTAACAAATAAAAGACGTATGAACTGAACATTCAGTCAACGCCTCCTAATGGGCGCGATTCCCTGAATTCTCCCCACTGCCTTGCTGGTAACTTATTTGGCCAAAGGTTCGGGGTGGGTTCCCCTAAGTCAACTCCCTACTTCGATTTGGACAACCAGGAAGTATCACGCACTATCACAAAACCATGGACTGTACTACAACGTGCTCATCAGCTACCGATTCTGCTTCTCACATTCACGCGACTTCACACGTCAATTGTTTGTTTGCTAACAATCCTTACTTTCCGTTACCGGATTCATGTGTTCAACAATCTGGCTGCGATTTCGATTGCTTCGCGAATCACCGAGTTCAACCTATGGCTCTCCTTCGTTCCCGATTGTCGTCCCGTCTGGCGTGCTTTAACGTTCGGACACTGATGCAGATTGGACAGCAAGCCGGTCTAGCACGCCTCCTAGTCCCTCGATATTAATGTCTGCTGCCTCTCAGAAACCCGATTGCAAGATGTCAGCACTGTGTTTACATTGACATCCACCGTTGACCGCGAATTGAGATATCATTTGTGTCTTTCTGGAGATCCAAAAGCAGCCACAGCGGGTTTGGCTGGTGTAGGTATAGCATTGAGTGGCAAGGCCGAAGCGGCACTACTGGACTGCTTCCTGATTAACAGACAACTATGTGCAGTACGGCCTCGGCGTTCATGTAGAATCAACAAGCGCTACGAAACAGACGCAACTTGTTTGTGATCTCCGTGTACTCTCCAACTGACTGCAGTGGCGGCTCGGTCAAAAATATATTCTACCGAGGTCTACATCAGCTCTTGACTTATGATATAATGTT